AATATATATATATATATTGTCCACCCTAAAAAATAAAAAATAAAAATAAAGCCACAAACCTATTATTTGCTTCCCCCTCATTTCCTCTGTTTCCATATCAAAAGAAAAATTAAGTATTGAATACCAATAATAACAACCTCGAAGCCAGTACTTCAAAATGAACGACTACAAACCTATTGTGGATAACGCAAATTACAATTATTTACAACAGATAAAATTTTATTACACATTATACATAAATGTTCATCTACAACGCATGATCTCTAAAGCAAACAGTAAACTATTTGCCTTGCCGACTTGCTGCTGTTTGAAAACCGAGCCCAACTTGAATTCTCAATACTTCTTCTGTGTCATCATATGAAGAACTCCGGGAAACACTGATTGATCCAAACTGAATCAGCCGGCGACAACTGCCCATCTACTGAACACTGCAATCTCTTCCCAGACTGCAGCAGCATCAGCTCATCAATCACATCAAAAGAATGCTTCCTCTTCATTGAAGCAAACACCGACTGAATCGACGGAGAAGAACCTTGTTGTGCTTCTAAAAAGTCACAGTTGCCACCAAATTGTGAGTTTCTCATGATTGAAGCAGGGTCCAAGACTTCCTCTATAGTCTCACTTTCCTCATAAGACTCAAAAGGATAGCCAAGAAGCTGGTTTTCGTTCCAATCGGTAAAGCTGGTTGTTTTTATCACCTCCTCCTGCTTCTCTTCACCCTTAGTACTGACAGTGAAAGAAGTCTCTTTTGGGCTGAAGGTCTCACCCACTTCATCACTTGCAGCCGGGGAGTTGCCTCTCTGTCTTACTCTGCAGAGAACCCAATCGTCCAACTGAGAAAAGCAGCCACCAAATTCACCATTAGTTTAGAAGGGAAAAGAGGAATTTGTGTAATCTATTGTTACAAAGGTTAGAATTTTAAGTTTTGAGGCTTACTCTCATGGAGCCCTTGTGCTTCTGAGATTGAGGAGGAGCAACCATTAAATCCAAGAGACGGTACTCATGCATAACCCATTCAGTTTTAATTCCCTTTGGTGGCCGGCCCTTATAAAAGACGAGAGCTTTTTTGACGCCAATGCATCGGGAGCTACCTGCGCTAATAATAGGCTTATCTGTACCAGTTGCCTTCCAATAACCTACCCCGGCTGCCCTGTTTGGACGAACGCCATTAGGATACTTCCTTTCTCGTGGACTGAAGAAGAACCATTCTCCCTCACCAAAGAAAGCCTTGTCTGAATAAGTTAAACCAAAAAGATCAGTTTTTTTATATTTTCAGACCTGTGTATTACTATGCGGTATATAAAATAAGAATTCAAACCATTAACGAATATATGGCCGGCTAAATTAAAACAGAACATAAAAAAGAAAAATTGTATATTAATTATTTATTTTTGAGATGCGGAAGGAATGATTAATCACCAGGAAGTTCCCAGGGATTGAATTTGTATAAATCAATATCAGTTATGACATTCCAATCTGAAGGCAATGAAGCGGTGAGCTTTTGGGTCAGGTAGCAATTGATGAGCTCTTGGTCTGTCGGATGGAAACGAAAACCAGGAGGTAAGTTAAAATTCATGTGTTGCCCCTTGCCCTCCATGGAAGAGAAAAAGGAGAATTAGAGCAGGGAAAGGAAGAAGAAGAAGAAAAGCAATTAAGAGACAACTAAGCAGTGGTGATTACTGATTGAAGAGAGCAAGCAGAGCTACTTCTTAAATAGGAAAATTTTATGCCGGGAAAATACTGGACATGCCTTTGAAACACAATGCAAAGGGCTGGTTTGTTTGGCTCCAATGGGATTAGTGAAGGGGAAGAAGTTGGACTTGTTCTGCGACTGCATTTTCAGCAAATGACGTGAGGTATTGTTTTTTGATGAAATGCCACGAGGCATGAAATTAAAGATTAAGCGCGAAGGGTTGAAAGAGGACACAGTAGTGTGATTAGGCTTTTGATTTGAGTGGACCAAGTAAAGCGTCTTCAGTGTAGAAGTTAAGCAGAGAGCGTTGCTAAACACAATGAAGGAGCTATGCATTTGTGTGAACCGGCGGCTCACATCGACATGTACAAGAATGATATAAAAGATTTGGGTGGTAAAAATGCTAAAAGAAAAAAAAATATAGGGGCTAGAGATGTAAATACATAAGATGTGTGTGGTATGTATGTAAATTTTTGTGTGTACGGAGTAAAATCATTTTGAAATAAGGACAACAAGGAAAAACAAGTTAATAATGAAGGAGGAAAAAATTGTGAAATATAGTTTGAAACTTCAAATATTATTGACATTCCTTCAAAGGTTGAGATGTTCTAAAGGAATCGAACACGAACGAAAAAAGTTTGTGTTCGTGTTTGGTTTGTTTGAAATTTAGTTTGTTTAAAATAAGCTTGTTTGAAATTGGTCTTGAAGTCACTGTTCGTGTTCGTTTCTTAACGAACCAGCTGAACACAAGTTAAACACCAGCTGTTCGCGAACGATGAGCCAGTTTGACATCTCTAATATTAATTTATATAAATAATATATTATATTAATTATATAACTTATATTATATAAATTTATAATATTTATATTAGTATATTACTAATAAAGTATATAAATATATTATTATTATTATTATTTTATTATATATTATAATTTATAAAATTTAATTTTTTAAAATATCATAATTTTTTTATATATAAGTATTTTAAATTATTTTATATTTCGAACAATAACTATTCGAACACGAACGAACGCATCACTGTTCATGTTTGGTTCGTTTAACTAACCGAACGAAAAAAAAAACCGTTCACGTTCGTCTCGTTTACTCATCGAACGAATCGAACACGAACTCATTAACGAACAAAATACGAACTATTTGCAAACAACGAGCTTTTTTTGACAGCCCTAACTTCATCCAACGGAGTGATTCAACAGCTTTCTCACTTCAAGCCGTGTTTCACAAAAAAATTATTGCATCCATTTATCGTACGCAAAATTGTGAAAAGTGAGCCAATAAAAAAAAAACTCTCATGCCAAAAAAGTGTATGTCAGTGAGCCTCAATTTAATTGACAGGTATGGTGGGGCACCGCACCACCGCCAGACAGTTGCCCCAAACACGACATTCCTTATTTACTCACATTTTCTTCCTCCAGAGTTTTAGGATCTTTTGTGATCCTTCTGTGTGATCAATACCATGCAGGGCAGAATTGATCAAAATCAATGAACTATATTGAAGCCGATGTAATTTTCCTATCCATCAATTTTTTTTTAATATGTTAGGAATCTTCGCTAGCGTTTCTTGTCATATACATATAATCCACAGAATTTAATTATTTATTCACTTCGAGATCTAAATCCTCAGACCTCTGTGGAATATCTTTGTAAAGGATTCAAAGAGAAGGAAAAAGCATATGATTAGCCATGATCATTAAATCACTTTTTATTAATGCTGGATTTTCTGTATATATTTTTTTCTTGCACAAGTTCAAAAGTAAATTATGTCAACAAAATTTACTTAAATCTAGCAATGTCAATTTGGACAAGTTTAATTATATTCAACTCATTATCATAAGAACTTGATGGATAAATTAAGCATAAAATTAATTTTAAAAATTCATAAGAATTTAATATATATTGAACAAAAATGCAAATCTTATCAACTAAACTAAATCAGAGTATCACATCTAGATTTTAGTACTACAGAAGCAAGTCTATTTGATTAATATTTCCCATAAAAAAGCATTGTCATACATAAGGTTGTAAATGAACAAGGCACATGATGAACAGCACAAATGTTATTCTAACATGTTTTTTCGACTTAATAAATAAATAAATTTGAATATGTTTTTAAAATTGGGAGCTTAAATGATGCAAATTTAAACATAGTTTAAATCTCACTTGTTTATATTCATGAACATATTCATTTGTTGTTCAACAAGTAACTATAAAATATTATTTAAAAAAAGTATTAATTAGAACTTATTTAATAATATATTTAATGATAGCATATTATAATTTGATATCAGTATTCACATAAATTCAATAATATTTTTTTATTATTTTCAATAAACTATGTATGTCTGGAAAATACTGACAGCCAGTCGATTGTCTTATTCGCCTGGTTACCCCAACTGAACGACTCGGGGAGGAGGATACCACCCAATTCGTATCTATTCAGATATATGTATAGATACATTGAAATATATGTTTATATATATACAGACCCTTCTAACACCAGTCGGTAGGCAATACCAAAGTGATCGAAAAAATCAGTACGGTCGAAATACTCGAGGGGTGGAAATATCCAAGCAAATAAAAATTCTGGGGGATCAAAATTAGCCAACAATGGTATTTTATCTTTTTTTTCTGAAAGTTCAATATATAAACATCTAATTATGTTTTCTAGGTCCGACAGAGATTCGAGAAACTCAAAGAGTTCACAGGTGTCTGCACCTACGCCAACACTCAAAAAATTCAAACCTACCGAGCGAATCAACAACTCCATATCGGGTCAAACAAATCAACGACTTAGCTTCGGGGTGCGCAATGAAAGACTCCTCTTCGAGGCAAGCAAATCAAAGACTACCCTCTGGGGCCAGAAAATCAAAGACTACCATCCAGAACTTGAAAATCAACGACTTCCCTCCCGGGCGAGCAAATCAACAACTCCCTTGCGAAGCAGGTGAGCAAATCAACGACTCTCCTCTGAGGCGAGCAAAGCAAAGACTCTCTCTGAGGCAAGCAAAGCAAAGACTCTCCACCAAGGCGAGCAAATCAACCAATGTCAACACTCACCGCTCAACAACTATCATAAACAAATGACCCAATAGAGGTAAAATACAAAAACAAAGGGAAAAACAATGGAAACTCTCACTCTACTTGTTACAAAATTTTTTTATGCATTTTTATTAAAATCAAAATGAACAAAATAGCACTATTAACTAAGTGGCAGATGAAGCCAATAAGACCGACCAAAGATCACCTCAAACGGCCGAAGATCAATTAGTCAACCCGCAATTTAAATAAAAACTTTACCTGAAAAAGCCTCAATAGAGCACTTCAGGGCCAAAGAAAAGAAGGCGCTAAAAGCCCCCGAAATCAAAGGAGTATAAATATTACATTTGTATTTAAAGTTTTTCATTATTATCATATCTTCACTTCCAAGAAGTAAAAGACTTAGGGGCATTAATGCATTTCCAGAAAATGCTGACGGCAGCACATATCGGTCGGTCATCTCATTTGGCTGGCCACCCCAGGTGACTGACTGGCCACATGGCAGGATGAACCCAGTAACGAAGATGTGTCAATGAAGACGATAAAAACTGATAACTCTCTAGAGCATAATGACTTGTAATTCCTAGAAGCACAATGACTTTTATCTCTCAGGAAAATAATAACTTGTAACTCTCAAGGGCAATGGTGTAATTTACTAGATACCCCTATGATCTATAAATAGGATGATCTATTTTACCTAAAGGATATGAAGCCATTTAGGCTTTCCTACCTTTAGGCATTTCACTCTCCTTCTCTCTTAATTTTTTTTAATAAATAAAATAGATTTAAGAACCCGGAGAACACCCTCACTTTGCCCCGTTGGGGGCAATCACTATGTTACTCTTTCTTTATCTCTTTTCCTCTTCCTAGTTCCTATGCTCTTTGCCCTGGACAGGGTCAACTTGACTAATCTGGATTCAACAAAATAGTAATTTTTTTAGTAATTAGTATATTTTTGGATTGCAAAAAAAAATTACTTATAACCTATATATTATTTTATTTCTTTCGTATTATTTAGTTAGATGCTAATTAAGATCTCACTGATTGTTTATTTATTTAAATTCATAAGATCATTTGTTAATAATTTTATATAAAAAATCAAATACTCATTTAAAATTTTAACTTGTTTACTAATTTTATATGAAAAATCATATGCAAATCACATGTTAAATTTTACATAAAAAATTAAGTACTCATTTGATTTCTTAGTGATCTAATTAATATAAACAAGCGAAGTGCAAATCAAGCGTGAACATTAAAAACTTTAAGCAAGCAAAGTATAAACATAAATTTGAAGCTCGACCTAAGCTCAAACTGAATACGGACAACTTATTATTTGATTAAGCAAACTCCAAACTATTGCATACACGACTCCACTCGGCTCATTTACAACCCTAGACATACATATGTTCTGTCTTTCTTCTAGCATGTTGTAGATCAGCTCTTAAATTTTGCATCAATGTGGGTTCTAAAAATTTGACACTTCAATCTCTCTCAAATGGAATAAAATTTAAGATTTTACCTGATGTTCCAGGTCCAAATTTTAGAAGTTAGATGAAATAGTAGACAAGTCACTTTCCTTAGATTTTCCCCTCATTTAGTGAGGACTAAGATATACATTGGGTTTGAGGTTTCCCATAGGCATAAGGTCATATGGTTAATTACCTCTCTAGATAATGGGAGAGCACTTTTGATTAAGACTTGTTATTGGGAGTTAGGTATTCATAGAGCACTATCGGAGACTGATAAGATTATCTCAAAATTTTAAAAACTTAAAAATTTATGTAATTATGTGATACTTACCATTATCTCATATACACATGCCAAGCAGTTTGATCGAGAGTCATCC